GGGAAACCCTGGCCCATTCTCTGGAAAAGCATGCCTATCCCTTCCTTTTATGGGCCCCCTTCTCCCTCATTATTTCACTCTACTTGGATAACTTGACAGACTTACACCATCAAGAAGTTGATCTGCATGTTTGTCTCTTACTTTTGCATATTCCTGGCCATGAAAAAGAATCCTTCATAGCATTTACTGCTTAACTGGGCTTCATCAAAATACTGGTTCTACAATTCTGGATGGAGGGCTCAGTTAAAGGACAAACCAAACCAACCAAACAAACATTATCAACCAGCTAAGCCTGAAAGCAACTAAACAATCAAATTAACAAAGAACTGGTAACAGGGACACAGTAACCTTTATAATGCCAGTAATTGGACAATGAGGCAGAAGGATTATTCTGAGTTTGAGGCCAGCCATAATGATTTCTAGGCCAGCCTGGACTACAACCTAAGTTCCCTATCTCAAAACAAACCCAACAAAATAAAATAAAGAAAAAAACCACAAAGCAATAGCAACAAAACCCACATAACTTCTTTCATTTTTTTTGGTGAAGAAATTGCATCAATATGTCAACAATTTTAGCAGAATACTTTTTTTTTATTCAGATACTTGACATTTTAATTCACTTGTATTGGAAAGTAAAAGAGCATTTAAAAGTTCTAAATCTTCCTAAGACACTAACCCTCTATAGTGATCTTTCATTGATAATACACTCTCATTTTCACAATGCCTTTTCCACACAGTCTTTCTTTTTCACTGTCTGGTTTTTCTAATTTATACTTCAAGTTTTCATCTTCTCACAATATACCTCTTTTTTTCTAATCCAAGTGTTTCCTTGAAGTAGGTTTTATCTTTGTGTATCCCTATTCCAAGCAAAAGATGGATTCCATCTCCAGGATAGCCTCCTATTTATTATTGGCATTGAAAGCTAATGGTCTTGATGGTTATTGTATCAGGATCCATAAAACAAGTCTCGCCCAAATGCCCACACCCTCCTATTTTCCTATGTGGCATACTAATTCACATTACATAAGCTATGTAAAAATGAGTATTGGTGACTTTAATAAACAATGTGGGGTTTTAATGTGTTTTGTATGTGTTCTCCTGGAAAGTGACATATCGCTCACTAGAGCTATTCATTCTAATGTGGAGATTTACATTTTAATTAGCTGAAAAAACACTGCAAACTTAGACACAGTCTTGTCTGTGCCAGAACTGAATTAACCCTTCATATGGTACAGGAAACATTATTCTGTTTCTCCTTTTCAGCCTTGTTTTCTGAGACTTGGCTGAAACTTCTGTCAAAACATTATTATTTGAAATTGTTTCTTTATTCTGAAACTTCCTTCCTTCCTTCCTTCCTTCCTTCCTTCCTTCCTCTGACAACCTTCACACTAAACTAAACTTTATCTTATCAAACCCAAACCTACTTTCTTTTTTCTTTTATCCTCCTCTCCTCCCTCCTCCTCCTCCTTTTTGAGAAATGAGTTCAAGCCAAGAACATCCTTGAACTCCCTATGAACCTTGGATGACATTGAATTCTTTATCCACCTGCATCTTGCATCTCAGTCTTGTGGTTTCTAAATTCTTCCCATTTCCAACAGAGGATAGACATACTCTTTGGGGCACAGAACTGGTGTACAGCTTAATTTGTCAGAAAGTTTACAGATGTAACTGAAGTTATTTCACCTTCACAAATGAAGACACAGAACGAATTTTGGAATCAGCTTTGCTTTAACCTCTTGTATCAATCAACCCTACATCTAACTAAGGGGATTTTAGAAAGTCTTAGACTATCCTTGTCTAATGCTGGGTTTGGTAAAATACTTTCAAAGTAAGTTTAAAAAAAAAAACCAAACAACTATGTGCTCAAAGATACATTTGACATATACATTTAATGTATATGTCATATCCAGTCTTCAGAAATTCCAATCATTCCTTTAATGAAGTGCAAGAATAATGTTTCCAAAAGGAAATCTCATCCTTAAAAGGATATGTTGGGTCCTATATCTCTCCTATATGGTCCTTCAGTTCTTTTCCATGATGACATGGAAATTCTTGCCTAGATTTCAAGAAATCGTATAAACTGCTTTCTATTTTTCTTTCTTTAAAAAAAAATTTCTGTAATACACAGACATTCATGTGAATGTACAGGAGACACAGAGAGGGGGAGATACAGGCGTACTCCACCAAAGCAGAAAAAACACACACACACACACACACACACACACACACACACACACTTCCCAAGTCACATGAAAATTGTTTAATATTTCTCAGACAATATACTGACTTATGCACCAATATACTGGCTCTATTCACTTGCTGCCTTAAAAAGATTCTACTAATCCCTCAGTAGTTAACTCATGGGTCTCTTATTTCAGGGACCTTACCCCACATTGGGCATAATTAAGTAGTTTCCATGTTACTTATGTTACAACAGCCATCTGTTTACATCTTTGAAGCTTCTAACATTAGCCCAATGCTCATACTTCAGGGGTACTCAATACCTACTCAAAGATTTTCATAGCCAGTGATCCACAGAAAATTACAACATTAGAGTTGATGAGTGCTGAGGCAGAGAGGATTTTGTTAATTGTATATCAGAGACTTAAATCCAGCCTCTGTTTCTAGAAGGAAGTCTTAGATGACAGGACTTCTTATGACATTCCAATCACTAGTGTAGAGCAGCTGAGTGAGGGTTACACTGTCTTATGATAAGATTAATTTGTATCCTCATCCAACTTTTATCCTTATTACATTCCAGGACTCTTTTTTTTTTTTTTGGCTCATTAGACGTTATATTAGGTACCAGGCATAGTGACACAGGTTTCTAATACTTGTATTCAGGAAGCTGAGGCAGGAGCATTATGAGTCCAAGATAGTGATGCCCTGTCTGAAACAAACATAAACAGAAGCATTTCCCATTAAACTTTGTCTTCTGAGGAGTTTATCTTAATTTTAATCTCTCCATTCTTTCTGTGTTGAGTCTTGGGACTTGTTTCTCTTCACACCTGTTTCTCCTTTGCTGCTTTTGACTGATGGCCAGCTCTGGAACTCATGTCCATCTGTTTTAGGACTGATGACCTGCCTTCTTAGTGCCGTACTTGTTTCTCTTCACACCTGTTTCTCCTTTGCTGCTTTTGACTGATGGCAGCTCTGGGACTCATGTCCATCTGTTTTAGGGCTGATGACCTGCCTTCTTAGTGCCGCTTCTTCATGTGGTTTTAGGAATCACTCTTTTTTTTTTTTTTTTTTTTTTTTTTTTTTTTTGGTTTTTCGAGACAGGGTTTCTCTGTGTAGCTTTGGATCCTATCCTGGCACTCGCTCTGGAGACCAGGCTGGCCTCGAACTCACAGAGATCCACCTGCCTCCCAAGTGCTGGAATTAAAGGCGTGTGCCACCAACGCCCGGCTAGGAATCACTCTTAAGGATAAGTGCTTTCTGGAAATTTACAGCAGACAGGACTTTTAATTCTTAGCCTTATCTTCAGCTACTGTGCAAGTGTGGTTTTTGACTTCTGGCTATTTGAGTGTCCTTCAGTGTTCCTCTCAGTTCCCAGCCCTTAACACACAGTCTAATATTGACCTGCCCAACACCAAATGTCTCTGCTCATTGCCACAGTCCATTTTATCATGGCATGTCATTTTATGTTACATATAAATATAGCTGCCAGAAACCTAGAACTTTCATGAGTGACAGAAAATTAGATCAATTTCGGAACACAGTTCTAGTAAAATCTAATGCTATTAGTTATTATGATATTATTTACCAGATTTAATTTTACATAAAAACAAAATGATTGTATTGTAGAAATAATGTAACTTCATGTAGAAATTGTCTCTAGACAGTTCCTGCATGGTGCCATTTCATTCAAATGAGATAAGCATGCAGACTTGTAGCTGCGCTGTCTAGTAGGGTAGACTCAGGGCCGATTGAATGACAGTATGGGTGGAGATGTTCTGTGACTCAAGAATGCTCAGCTACTTCCAAAGACCATAAAAATTGGAATACACCTCCTTAGTAATTTTGATATTAATTATATGTTAAAAAGATAATGCTGTTGAATCCCTTTTACATATTTGTTTATATTTTATTTTTGATGTGACAGCAATACAACTGAAATGACCTCTGTGGCTTGCTCTGTTTTTTTTTTGTTTTTTTTGTTTTTTTGTTTTTTTTGGTTTTTTTTTTTGGGGGGGGCATCTCTGTTTCAGAGGACATGGCTTGTGAGTATTTCATGTTTGTAAGTTTATAAACATGGAAAGGGAAGTGAGTGCAGAATTATAAGACAGAAAAATTTACAAGGGGGGCAGGAAATTTCTGCTTAGATTTAAATGTTTTGATTCCATGCACATACCTACATGCCACACGCTTGATGAGCTTCTGAGAAAACTTGATAGTCTCTCCAGAGCAATGGAGCTGAACCAAATGGCAACTGTGTAAGGCTCACTACATGGCACCTAACCCCAATGTCTTAGGATCAATATTGATTTTTGTCATTTCTTTTACCATGGCATTTCAATATGTCTTAGATATATTACTTTCAGGATCCAGGTTAAGATTCAGTGATGGGCATGATAGCAAGGGTGGTTGTAAATTATGTAGATATCATTGAATTTATGAACTCTGCAGTTCCAAGGTAGCTTTCAGTTTGGGAAATATATTAACCACATACACATCACACTTAATTTTGTGGTGAGGATTTCCAAGCTGGGCTCCCTATTGTGCTACTTAATTTATGGGCTGACCAGGTATATGCATTGCCATACAATATTTCAATGTAAGTTGGGCTAGCCAACAGAGGAGATGAAGGCAAGCTTCAGGGAAGCCAGCTGGACAGCTGATGGATCACTCTCCTGCACGCAGGCTGGGGCACTAAGTAGCCTTTGGAGCTTGTCAGCCGGTTGAGTCTTTTTCTGCTCTGAGATGCTGCACACACCAGCCTAGACAAGCAGAATCAGCCATGCTGCAGCAGGCAGAGGGCAGCTCCCACAGTTACTTACGTTGACAGCCGTAGTGCCAGGAATTTCCTGGCAGGCACTCATCACATTTAGGCCCTGTTGTTCCAGTCTTACACTCACAAAATCCTGAGCCATTACAACGATCATGGATTGAGCCCAGAGGGTTACAATAACACTCTGTAGAAACAAGACAACACACAGGCTGGAGACACTTTGCATGGCTTAGAAGTTATCAACACAGGAGGTTCACTTACTTAGATGCATTCACTTACTTAGTGGAAGATGTCCATTAATGAAATGCTTTGGCAAATATGCCTTTTTCAGGGCCATTTATTTATTTGCTCAGCCTTCCATGGCCTCATTTTTATGATATGGGAGGAAAACAGCTGAACCCTTCCAAGGAAATAAGACATCATGCTTTCACCAGTAACAGATCATAATGGAGGTTCCATTTGTGAGGCCATTTTTTTTTAGATGGTTTAATGAATGCCATGAGAAGTGTGTTTATCAAGGATAAATCAATATTCCATCAGTGTAAAATCTGTTTTAAATTATTCAAATGGATTTATCTGCTACACTCAATATCTGAGAACGGCTGGGCATCTTAAAGTGCACTATGGATGCACTTCACTCATTTAAAGGTAGTTTTGCTTTATGATTTGGAATGGTGCTTTAACTTATTTATATTTATACTGCTTGGAGATGAGGCCTTAGAGTATGTGTTTGCTAGGCATGAGCACATGGCTTTTATGTACTGTAGGGGAACAACCATGAAAGAGAAATAAATTTCACACTCCCAAATAAATCTCAGCAAAGATAAACTTTGAGATGTATATTTTTCATTGCAACTTGTTTTAGCAGGACAAGGTAACTTTTTTTTCTTTCCTTTTTTTTTTTTTTTTTTGCATGTAGTAAAAAACCAATGGAGTGTTTCCTTGAGTCCTCACACACTCTTAGACAGGACACTTTAATGTCTGAACTCTATAGTGATCAAAGCTTAAGTTGGACCCGGAAAACCTGTTTATACCCAGCTGGAGGCACCAGCTGGAGGTGGTTTGTGACAAGGGATTTCAGAGCCACTCTTCTTTTCCCTACTCCCATGCTGTGAGATCTTAGCCAGGTTACTATCACTTTCTCTTTCTTGATTTTCTTTGTTTAAAATTGAGCTATTATGAGATTCTCCTGCTAAAAATTCAAATAAAAACATACAGCCAACCAATAGACTGAAGCCCTTGCAAGTTTAGTTTAATTATAACTGAGTTTATGTCATTGGCAAAGATGAGGATTCCAGGTTATCATCATGAAGAGACCTAGAGATTTTGGTCAAATTTTTTTCATTGAGACAAGTGAAAATTTCTTTAACTATTGTGGAGTAAGTACCTTAGAATTATGATTTATTTTGTGTCATGTTTTTGAGCTCAATATTCTCATGAAACAAATATTTATAAAACTAATTGTGTATGTGTGTAACTAAAACAAAAATCCAAAATATTTCTTCCTTTCTTGGCTTGGTTTGTATTTAATAACCAGGCTTTTATAGTGGCATCTTCTATTTCAATGTATATCTAGGAATAGTTCAAATATTTTTATGGTTTTGTGCCTAGGTCACACTGGACTGTTTCTTACTTCATAAAGTATCTATATTGACAATGAAGTATCAATATTTTGTAAGTCAATTAGTAGAGTTACATCTAAGCAGCACGGATTAACATGCTTCTCCAGTTAGTTCACATTGATTGATGAGATGAGTTTTAAACAAATTAAAAAATACAGTCCTGGTACCTAACCCATAGTATGTCCCAGTGTTTGTTATAAGAAAGAGAGCAAATGTAGTCTTAGTTATGAAAATAAATGGCAAGGTTTTCCCTCATATACAAATAATTCAGTTTTTCAGACTCATGAAGCTCTACTCAATGGTGGTAGATGGGGTAATGAGGATGGCCATGGAGATAGTATTTTATAACATGAAATGATGAGGAAAATACAGGGCTGTCAGATCGAAAAGCAGCATGAAATACTTTGTACAACTCAGTTAAAATGTCACACTACAATTTATTTATGGGCCTTAAAATTGTCTTGAGTTTCTTTTGTTCTGTGTAAGGTACCTGATCCTGGGTTTCAAGGAGAATTAAAAATAATGCATCATAACTTAGAGATATGTTTAGTAGCAACTGCTGAGTCCCATGTTTCTTTCTGATGCGAAGCTTGTTAGGGGAATTATTAACAGTGATTACCCAAGGTGAGAAACCCTGTGTCCTCTAGCTTCCCACTTAATGCTCAAGTTTATAGGAAGCAGAAACATGCAAAGATACCATTTTCAGGTAATTGTTGCATTATCATGGGGGAAATGTCATGTATCTCTGAAGACATGACTGTGTTTAGAATTTGTATGAAAATTGGGTGAATTCAACAGTAACCACACATAGAAACCACCATGGCAGCATGAACTAGCCAGCTGCATTGCATATTTGCCAAAATGTAAATTGACTTTAAAATATCTTGACAGCCCGTAGATAGATCAGAGATGTGATGTGTTCCTTCAGAGCTGGGTTAGTGATTCTTTGTCAATTGCTAAAGAATTTGCAAGGCATCTTTTGAAGGTTTTTTTTTTTAATTTGGAGATGATGTAGATAGAGTTCAAAGTGTCTTAGATTAGTACCCAATGAGTTAAGCAAGTATCTATTTGATTTCATCAGTTCTTTCTGAACTAATAGCATTAAAAATAGCTTTCAATTGCTGTAGTAGGGCCTCACAAATTAAATATTCAATCTTTCCCTATAAGGTCTTTTTGCTTTATTTAAAGTATTTAAATGTGAAATGTTTTAATTTCATGTATTTTGTATTTTACAAAACCAAGTTAGGGTTTATTCTAGTGTTCCTATTGACTTTACCTTTTCCGATTTTTCTATATTTATAGCGTGATATTTATATATTTTTACAAGTGGAATTCAGCAGAATATGTTCTGTATTCCAAATCCAGGCAGCTGTGCATCTTTTGGTTCTTATTAATATTCTCGAGTCTTTGTAATCCATGTGTTAGGAAGGCAATTGGACTCCTGTTCATAAGTTAGCAGTGGGATGCTGCTGTCATTCAGGAAATACACTTAAGTTAAAATCTAGGCATCTTTAGCTTTGATAGCCATGCCAGAGTGGTTCGGAGGGAGTGTTCAATCTATGGAGTCAAGATGCTCTTTGCTAAATGTGTGCAAGTTGGGTCAGCCTGTCTTATTTTTTGTTAAGTATAAAAGAGGAAAAAATTATTATAATACTTACCCTAATGCTTTGTTAATGAGAATTGATTTTTTTTTAAATTGCAGGTCAGTGCATACTTTACCAAGTGTTTCCTGTCCACTTGCTTACAAACAAGCCAGGAGGTTTGAATGACTTACCTAGGGCACACAGCTAGGGAATAGCAAGTTGGGACTTGAACCCAGCTCTCCAGCATCTAACTCCAGTGCTTTCTCCACTAATTCACAGATCATAAATAAGGAAGCACTTTGAAAAATAGAAAGTACTGTAGACATAAACAGTATCGTGCATACTTGGTCCAAATAAATTCACAATAACCATTCAGCTAATTAATGATATTTGGCAGGAATCTTTGTGACTGTCACATCACACCCAAGGAAGAAAACAGGGATCCAAGACACACAGTTGAAATGAAAAACTGTTTCTTTTTCTTTTTTGATTAAAAGATCACTTGTCAGTTTCCATCTTGTATGCTCTAATTTTCCAACTTATAAACTCTACTGAACTTGGCCTCTGTGGAAAATTCAGTCTTTATGAACGGTGGCCTGTATAATTTCTGGTGTGGTGACAGACATCACATTTCAAACATATGCAGTTTTTAGAGGAAATTATAGAATGAAATTCCATTTATTGTTTTTCAATCAGACTTTCTCACTGTTTTAGAGATAGGGTCTCCTGCGGTACAGGCTGTTTGTTCTTCATTCACTATGTAGCCAAGTCCTGCCTTAAAAATCCTGACATTTTTGCATTCACTTATCATTTGTACAGATTACAAGTCTGTCCCATCATGCCTGTCTCCAGACTCCCTTCTTTAGGGTCAGGTCCCTCTATATAGAAAGTAGGAGACACTTTTCTGAAAGGAATGGATCCTTTACATGTAAGAATTCCTCATGAGGGAGGATATGCCCTCGAAGGACCCTATTTTCTAAGGCTAAAGTATCTTATAATCTAACAGTCTATAACATGGAGAAGTTTGAGACAATTCTCTTCTATTGGGGAACAATAGAAAAATCCAATGAATGGAATTTCATGCTGTAGATGGAAAAGTTGGGCAAACTTCCACATTAGAACTTGCTAGTAGCTTTAGGTTCTTAGTGGCAACATTTTTATGGCAACAATACTCATAGTTTCTACACCCAAAGTTTCATATCTAATATAGTTAATTATCATTTTAAAGGTTGAATGTACAATTTGAGGTGATTAAATCAGGTAAAAATGTATCAGATTTTAAAATTTCATGCAAAAAATAAAACGACAAAAGGAAGAAAGAGCAAAGAATGGAGAAAGAAAATTCAAATATTCTTCATTTTCTAAATATGATTTCTCATGACAATCATCTTTAAGGTAACAATATTAGGAGATTCCAATTCTACCCTCCCCCCACCCACCAAGTATGACTTTATCCAAATGCAAGTGAATTCTCAGTCTACTACAAGGATACGTGCTCCATTGATGATATTCATTCTGGCTCAGCTGTTGGCAGACCACCAGCCTCTCCACCCTAACCAGATCCCCATAGCTCCAAAGGCACAGAACAAAAGCTGAAATCGTAAGGGAACTGACCTATGCACACATTCTCATCGTCCAGCTGTGCAGAAGCATTTCTGAAGTAGCCCAGCCTGCATAACTCACAGTGCTGCCCTCTAGTGTTGTGTTTACAGCTCACGCAAATGACTGTGTTTAGCAGATCGATATAACTGCACCGATTGGAGTGGCCGAAGCATTCACAGTCTTGCAAGGAAGAACAGAAATGTATACAGAATGTATACAGCAGCAGAGAAATAGCACGCTACATGCTTGAGTGAAATGAGGGATGGGGAAAAGATGGTGGAATGGCATTACATATATGGAAACCAACATAACACATGGTGACAACAGGTGGTTGTGACCAGCATGAAAGTAGTAGTTGTTTCAAGCAGGATAGAAAGGTCAGACAAACACCACTAAAGATTGTTAATTCTTGGCAGACAAGATGAACAGAAGCATTTGCAGGTGCACACCTTTTAAAATTTGGGAAGGCTCAGTTTCAACTGATGCAAGAGTCTAATTTTGCACATGAAAAACTTTACTGACTTTGCATCATTTTTCCCATTTTCCTTCCATCTTTGCAATCCTAAAAAGAGGGAAGGAAGCATATGAGCAGCAGGTGTGTGGATCTGATGACTCCCATGGCTCTTTTGTCTCACTATTTTCTTTCTTCCTTACTTTTTTTTTGTTTGTTTAAGACTTAGGTGGGGCTTTTTAGACATCATCATGCCAAGTTCATAACGATTGAGTCAAGTACACAATTCTTAATTTTGTTTTTCTCCAATGCTAAGAGGATATGTCTTTCTTGTCTCTTTCAGGTAAAATACACATGATCATGTGCTATAGAAAACACCAAATACAGGGAGATTATTCCTAAGGAAAAACACTTAAAATTTCCTTCTCCCAAGTTTCTTACTATGTCTAGTACCAAAGAGGGGTCAGATACATACTATACCCCAAAATTGCTTTGTGTTTTCTCTATAAAATGTCAGAGATGCCCATGAGGCTACAGGAGTGATTACAGTATGAACTACAGAGACAGGAAGAGGATGGGAACTGGTGGGGTGTGGGGACTCATTAGATTTTTCTCTCTTGTATCTCAACCAACACAAGAATTTGTTTTAATCTAATTCAACCTTTAAGAAGAAATGGTAAAGACAATTCCTTCATTGGCATAAATAACTATTTAATAACTCACAAAATTTGGAGGGACAGTTCTGTGGGAAACAAAATATGGGGGGACTTGACCAGCTGATATGTATAAGGAAAGTAAACTATGATTCTGCAAAGTGTGTCTACAAATACTCATTTCATTAATGCCTTATCTTTTATTTTTACCCACTTAGGAAGTCGAACAAAGTCACTATTTGAAATCATTCATTCATTCTTTCATTCATCCAGTATTTTATTGAAACAGCCTCAGAACTTTATAGGTGTTAATTTACATTTTAACTTGCATAAGTGTTTTTCAGAAATATAACACTTTAGTGATCAGAGTAAAACTGAGTATATAAATTAAGACAGAATGAGGAAAGGTGATATATATACTGTATTTACTATGTTTCCACTTCTCATAAAAATGTAGATTTATTTATTAGAGATCTGGTAACTCCAATAGACATTGAGATCAAGGTCAAGATCCTGATGAAAAGAAATCTAATTTAGCTAGTAGCAGAGAAGGACACAACTTGGGAGATTATGAAAGTAGAAGAGAGCCATGACAGTATCAGTAGCTTGTTGAATCTAGTTGCTTAAAAGAGAAGCAAGAATAAGGCAGGGATCTGGAAGCCATGTGGCTTCCTTTACTGAAGATTAGTTATATAGCTGTGTAGAGAATAGGGCTGTGGATGAAAACAGGGAAGGACCAGGAGGAAGAAAAGGACCGAGAGAAAGATGCTTGCCTATTTCGGTGTGAGAATTAAGGATAGAAATTTACTGAGTAGGTAAGAAATGCCATATCAATAACAATAGTATGGATAACAATCAAGTTATAGATCTTGAAGTGGATTACTCTGAAAACAAGTTACAAGACCCATAATATCCTCACTTCTGTGATGGCACTAACTATTTGAGGGTCTTGTTTGAAAATCAGATTAATAATTTGATAGGAGAATTGATAATAATTATTTAAAAACCATAAACTGCTACATGTACTATTAGTAATACGTTTCCAAAGGTAAGTGGACATTAAAAATCAAAGATATTCTAGGAAGTATGCTAATAATAACTTGATTTTTTAAGATGTCTAGACTGTTTCTGAGATCTTGGCAAAGCTGCCTTCTCTGGCAATGATATATTTGAGAATATAAAATTCAAAGAGAATTTGAAAGTGATTTGGAAGACACTAGAATAATATACAGATAAAATACTTTGAATACACATATAAATTGTAATTGTATATAAATGCATTAAGTTGTATAGGATCTAGGTCTTATTAATTTTGATGTATGATATTTTATTTGTAAGTATTTTTATAATAAGCATTGTAAAATTATACACAAAGGATAATTCACACATGATTATTATACTGTCCTATGATTTTCAGGGGTCTATTAAATTTACCATCCTTTACTATCTATCTAGTTTCCTACTCAATCAGAGTCCATGAGAAATCCCTACTGATGCAATTGGATATGATATCAACTGTTTGACAGTTTCTTAGTTCTTCAATTCACTGACCTACCATATCACCCTATCTTTTCTTATGAATCATAGAATCTATGGTGTCTTCTTATAACCTCGCTTTCTTCTATAAAGTTTGTTACCTTCTTACTTTGACTCAATCTCCTGGGAAAACTTCTTAATGATTACATGAAATTCTCTACCTCACCGTGTTGAAATGTTAGCAGCCACACATGGATGGGGATATATTTTCCAATTATTTTGAAGTAAGTTTCATTGAAGTTTATACTCACTCACTGCAGGTGAGTCCTCTAGGTTAGCTGACAGTCCTTCCCAAAAGGGTCCCTGGATTATCACTCTATGTTGGACCTCCTCCTTCCTTACTCATTGTTTTTGTTGTTATTTTATATATTTGCTTTTTAAATGTCTCAGAGTTTAAGTCATTGGAACTTTATGGTCAATAGATGTACCCTTGATACGTTTTGTTTTAAGACTTAAAACTCTTATTTATAAGGAGACTTTAAAACCATCTACATGTAAAACACTCCAAAATACTATTTTCTATACTGATCAACTCTCCAGTTAATGAGATTCCATTCAGACTCACAGCCTGCACTCAACAGCCTTCTCGCCATCCCTGCCAGGATACTTAGCTAACATCTTAACTTTAAGATGTTTGAAACTGAGCTGTTGGGGTTCCTTCTTAACTTTGCTGCTCAGAAGATGGCTCCATCTTAAGTAACAACACTATCCTTCCAACTACATCCACTGTTTAGGTTGAAATCCCAGTGTTCTCTCTCTCTCTCTCTCTCTCTCTCTCTCTCTCTCTCTCTCCCTACAACCAACTGAGGAGTTGATCCACCTGGCTAGGATTTTATATTTGTAACAAAGCTGACGTCTTCTCACCATCTCTGCCATCTCATCCTTAGCTCATATAACATCACCCTCATTATTGTCATGATCTCTAAGCTCCTCTTTCAGTGAGTGAGAATGACCAAATGAAACTCAGATTAGACCAGGTTACCTCACTCCTCACAGACCTAATGGCTTCTCGTCTCACTCACATAAGAAAGCTACCTGATTCGTGTTTACTAGCCCTTAGCTTCTTCTGGGTTCTTTCCACTTTCTTCCTCACTTGTTGCAGTTTCCATTCTTACTGCTTTTAAAACACACTAAGCATATCTCAGTCTGTCAGCTGGATTGGACGGATTCCTCTCCAGACATCTTCTCAAACATTATTCAGTACTTGTTTTCCCACTTTCTGAGTCAAGTCCCAGGCCAAAGTAGATTCTCTGAGTACTTTATCTGAAATAACAGCTCCTCTACTTAAACATCATCATCTTCCAGTTCCTTAGTCCTTTTGATGCTTTTCTGAGCATTTATAATATCTGAAAATTACATTTTTAAAAGGTCTTACTATGTATTCGGTGTAAAAACCATGTATATAGACCACATCTACTTTGTTCCCAGCTATAACCACAGAACTTAAAGCATTGCCTGATATATGCTAATCACTCAGAAATTCTATTGAATGAGAAAGTAAATGAGTGAATGATGTTCCCAAAGTACCCTCCCTTGGGAAACAGAGAAGGCATGGAGGAAAGTTATGTTTAAATTTATTCTTCTACCACTCAAATCCCAGGAGAGTCTGACTATATCCTGCGCATTAAACAGTTTAGAAAAACAGTACCACACAATAAGATATAACCAAGTTAGTGATTATATTAGCTGAGTGAGTATATCTATGTACAGACCAGTTTAAGAAGAAAAAAAAGCAGGTTTCTGCAAATTGTTGTGCCTTTATGTTTTAAATTTCAAATCACACTGTAATATATAATGTAATGGGTATGTATTATTACTTCTGTAAACAGCTGAGGTCTTTAAAGCACACATACATGAGTACATGGTGTGACAGGGCAAGCACAGCAACAAATTTATCAAGATTCTTCTGTACCAGGCACCTAATGTGAAGAGGTAAAGTGAAAGAGGTCGAGTCATGTGTGAGTGTGATGGACACGTGGAGCCAAATACTTAACTGGGTTGGGCTTTTCTTGCACTGTAGAAAATTCAGAAGCACCACCAGCCTTAGAAATATTAGAAAACCCCAATGTGCAACAATCAAGTATGTCTTCAGCCATCAACTAGTGATCTACTTGGAAGATATTTATACCTACAATTACGTCTTGATCTATAATATACATGGAATATTTTTTCATCATGCAAAGTGTTTAGATAATGAGATACTAATTAGTGATCAATTAGGACTAGGGCAGGCTAGAGATGCTTGAGAGGAGAGACCAAATAGTTGGCTTTCCTTGGCAACCGAGGTCCACACCCTTCTGAGGTTTTCCACAAGGTTTCTTCTGATTGAAATTGGCTGTGGAAGACCTCAGCAGACAAGAATCTCAGGAAAGCAAAGAGTTGGAGACAAAGTCAATTGAAGAAAAATAATATCAGGAAGAAGAGCAGACTGCATTTCCCTTCTATTCCTTTTTTCTTATTATCTTTGTAATTATAATATTACATCACCCATGCAACTATAAATATGACAACAAAATACAATCTAGGTGTATTCTTTCAAA